ATGTGTCACGTATAATATGAGATCTCAATCACCACATCACTTTCTGATCAATTGGAATAGTAATAGCGATTTGATATATCAAAAAGACAGTGTTATAATGGATGAAATTGTTTTTTTTAATTGGAGATATCTTAAAATTTTGAAATTGGATATAATTATTTTTATAAGGAGCGTTTCCTTCGAAGTGAAGCTTTAGATGTTACGAATAATTCAAATTTAGTCGTCACAGTTCAATCTACAATTTTCATGCTTAAATTGCAATTTTTTTAATGTTATTCATCCCCTTGAAAATCCACAAGTAACTTAAATACCTTTAGCCACAACAATTTTTATGGAGAAGATAGCACCAAAATTAGGGCATAAAAAGTTGTTTAATATCAATTTTTATTCGTTAAGTTACTTTTACGTTCATTAAATTTTCAATTCATATCATTGTTAAATAAAATAAAACTCAATAAAAGAAATATTATCTACTGGAAATTACAAATTTGTTTTGGGAAATTAAAATAGAACAATCTTTTAAGAATTTAGATTAGATCAAAAGAAAATAACAATACTGTAATTCCATAAATAAAATTTATAAAGGGTATATAGTATTATTCTTACCTCGTAAAAATAGATATATACTTAATAAACAGTTCCACACAATATGAGAAAAATACAAAAATGAGAAGAATAACAAAATAATATGACATGGGGAACAATAAACAAGAGTCCGGAGTCTAAAGGGCAAAAAAAATTGATAAAAATTTCAAAAGGGTACATCAAAATAAATTTCTAACCAAAACGGTAAAATTGCTACTGATGTAGCGATTTACTTTAATGCTGTTAATCAAAATCGCTGCTCTTGGAGCAATTTTTTTCTTAAATTTTTCTATTTTATTTGAAATCACTGCCTAGGCAGCGATTTTTGTTATTGATTTTTTTAAAAAATTGAAAATCGCTACGCAGCGTTTCCTTAAGAAATAGTTCTTTTAACAAATCGCTACCAAGAGAATGATTTTAGTGTTTTTTTCTTTTCCTTTTAATAGTGACAACTTGCATTGTAAATGTCAAAAAAAAAGGGAAAAGGATTCAACGAATTGCTCCGAAGGCAGCGATTGTAAGTTGTCACAATTAAAAGGAAAAGAAAAAAGCACTAAAAAAACGATTTGTTCAAAAAATGCTGCCAAGGCAGCAATTTGTTAAAAAAACGAAAAAAATGATTTGTTAAAAAAAACGCTGCCAAGGCAGTGATTTCCATTTTTTTTAAAAAATCAATAACAAAAATTGCTGCCAAGGCAGTGATTTCAAAAAAATAATAAAAATTTTTCAAGAAAAAAAATCGCTCCACAAGCAACGATTTTGATTACCGACGTTAAAGTAAATCGCTACGTCAGTGGCGATTCTACCATTTCTGTTGGAAATTTTTTAGATATACCCTTTTGAAATTTTTATCAACTTTTTTTGCCCTTTAAACTTCGAAATCCAATAAACAATGTATAGAGGAAAGAACAATGACAAGAAAATAATGTGATAACTAAAACAGAAAAAAAAAAACATAATCTAAATCGAAGAACAAAAAACTATGAGAATATTGCTAGTACCTTTGCTAAGAAGAAGCAACAACCAAAGATATCCTGCAGGAAATCGAGATAATGTAACATTCTGTTAGGATCGAATTCATGCACACAAACTAGATGAATGAAGAATACAAGAACTTTCAAGAGAAAGAGATGAGAGATCTAGAGAGAGAAAGAGAAAACCCAATATTTCGTGGTAACACCCCGTAAGTAAACTTCTACGGCGGTGAGGTATACTGATATTAATAAATCAGAGTATTTTTGGTTACAGAGAATAAATAGAAAAGCATAAAATTGCGTAAACAGTTATATATATTAATCAGGCTCCACTACCTAACACATTCAACTACCATCTAACTTTCTATCCTTATTCACAACGTCCAGTCCCTCTTATTTAAAGTCATAGCTCTCAATAAAATCAAAATGTATCATGTCACGTCTAATCACCCCCCGAGACTTCTTCAGCATGACTCCACCTATCCTATTTAATTCACTAGTCCAAACCAGCTCTACCTCGCTTACCTAATCTTGTCCACCATAGAAATCTCTCCTACCTTATAGCAAATATCTTTATTCTTAGTCTTATCTCTCCTAGTATGCCTACACCTCTATCTCAATATCATCTCCACAACTTTCATTTTCTAAGTAAAGGTGAGCATACATGTTCATGTACGTGCACCTGTTAACTTGAAATATGACATTTTATTAGACGAATTAAGTCACTAAAATTGTTTGGTTGCACTTGTCTAAATGTTGTACATATATGCCTTTCGAGCTGAGGGGCCTCGTTTTGAATCCCATTTGTTGTTTCTCTTTTTTCGCTTTTATCTAAAAGCTTAAAAGTATTGAATATAACAAGGAGACTAGCCAGTTTCGAACTTGCGATTTCATGGTGCAATAACTTCACTCTCCAAACTACATGTTGAAAGTCATTTGATTCATATTTATATATTAAGAGCGTCCACTTTTATTTGTCATTTTGCGCTTTTTGAAAGTTAATTTGACTCATTTTTAAAGTTAAATTAGATTACAGTAATTTGATATCTTAAACAAAAAATTAGATATTTAAAAATATATGAAAAAGTATTATAAATTTCAATTTTTTGCATATCAATATGATGAAAAATTAATACATCTTAAAATGTTAGTCAAAATTCTTATAGTTTGACTTTAAAGAAACCATGACAATTAAAGGTTGACGGAGTGAGTAGTACATTAATTTTCTGTTTCTATATTTACTAAAATTATCTCAAGTATCGGTATTGAGTGACATACTTGCCTTAACTAAGATGCATTATTCTTTAATAGGTATCCATCATCTTCATATCTTGAATTCGCCTCTACTTCTAAGCATGTGAGTTCTTGATTGCCAACATTCCATTTCATACGATATAGACACTCTGACAATCAGTATGAATACTTACCTTTTAAGTGTTGGCATTATCTTGTTATCATGGACGAGTAAGCTAAGTGCTACACATATTTATCGTTGTTGAACTTCAATAAAAAATTAAAGTAATATTTATTTTAAAATAAAAATCTAAAAATAAACCGGAAAATTGTTGTGTCGACGAGTAAGCTAAGTGCTACACATATTTACATGTGAAAAGTGGTTGATTTGCATGATTAGAAGGGTTGAAAATCAAGCTCAAGATTGACTACATTACACGTGAGAATCATGACCAAAGGGGGGCTGATTCTCATTTGATATTTTTGAGTTATTTTGTTAGCAAAAGAGTATTTTTAAGTAACACACGTAATAATAAAGATAAATTTTTTAACCAAAGTATAACGGATGGACATAAAATTTATAAGAAATTTGTCATAAAATTTCACTTTTATGCTCATAAAATGAGCACTTTTTGTGATTTGCTAAGAAGTTTGTGCTTGTTTTTCTTTAAAGGATGGTGCTCGTTTTTCTAATTATGAAGCGTTATTTGTATTTTTGATATAAAATTATCAGATATAAAAAAAGTATCACATTTCATTATGAATTTTGAATTGAATAAAAAATTGAAATAGATCTTGTAGTGATTCAAATTTAATCGAAACTCTAAAGTGGACTCAAATGCCAAGTTAGAAACCTAAAAAAAAAAGACATTATACAAAAAAAAGATACTCCTCGTTAAAAATGGATTTATTAGTTTCTAAGTGAAAGTTTGTAACTAACTACCATATTGGATAACTAAACAAAGTGATAAAACATAATCTGTTTTCTTTCTTTTAAATATTTCAAGTAGTTAGAAAAATAATAAAGACATCAAACCAACTTATATTTATTTATAAGAAGAAAAAAAATTAGTTAGCTTGTCTTAGTGGCTTGAAGCGACTATCCAACTTAACCTAATCGATAATCAAAGCTAACAACCGAAGGACTTAACCAATATGTATTAATATATGCAAAAATTAATCGATATGAATAGTGATGGGATGGTTGACGAAATTCCTCAAATCTTAACCAGAGATCTTGGGTAAGCACTTCAAGCCACCTCTTAAAATGATCTTGCAATCCGCAAATTCATATTTTAATCAAACTCTAATATATGTGCCTACAAATCCGTGTCTAATTGAATTGTATTGATATTTGATATAAGGCGGAAAAAAAGGGGTTAAAAGTCATTGGTTTGTAAAAAGTCTTAGTAAATTGTATTTAATGTTAGGAAGTTAGTTGGGAAATAAGGGACAATAATCAATTACTTAGTATAATAATCTTAAGAGGGATAGATGACAAATTGATGCAAGGTTATTCTGTTTTTGGGTGCACGAAATTGAGTTAGGAAGGGATTAATTAATGAATCCATTTGGATAATTTCTCTAGATAAATATTGAAGCACAATGAATGTTTACGCCAAATGTTCAATATTTTTTTATAAAAAAAAATAGGAGCCGGGGAAGGAGAAACACGAGGATTACAAGGTGGAGAAAACCAAAATCTCATGATTAAGGTAATAGTTCAGGCAATCAACCAACTGAGTTGTGAAAAAAAATCGTGAAACAGGTTGCAAAAGTATGAGAGATAACTGAGTAGTGAACATCCACACTAATTGTATATTTTATAACACGTGTTTTTTCTTTTTTCCATGATCACGATAGACAAACTAACACCATACATATTGAGAGAGACCTATCGACCATGACCTTTTTTTTTAAAAAAACTAATTATGCTTTCATAGTGTAGTTATCACTTGAAAAAGTGTATACATTCTCTCCCTGACTTTATTGGGGTTTGGTGAATGAACCCTAGATTAGTAATGTGTCTTGATCACAAATCATTTGGTATTACTCTATTAGTAATTAATTTTGTGTTGTTGCACTCTATTGATAAAAGAAATTACACCTAGGAGAATGTCTCTTTTCTAAATTTTGGCTGAACAGTAAAACGAAATATATAAAATATAGGAAAGAACAAACGCTAGAAAGAAAACCCACAAGAAGCAATTTGCTTTTTAAATCGTCTGTATCCAAAGGAACTTCAATTTATTGATCATATCCCATAATATTCAACTATAAATGTTAAGATATACATTAATCGAAGTTCCCTCAGAAATTTCAACCTCAAACTGTTTTAAGGTGAATCATGTCTACTTGTCCCCTCGATCAGACGAAAACCTATCAATGCTTGGCTGAGCTCTTTCAAATTTAATTAGTTTAGGAAACTAACCAAAGAAGTTATCCAGTCAATTTGAGCTGCCTTTATTATACATGCTAAACAGCGTAACAACAGCAAATAAGATTAGTTCATGGGAAGTAGAAAATGCAGCGCGTACTCCAGCTTGGAGTCCTTTTCATGGTGGACCTGAAAGAAAGAATAACAGAAGTAACCCGTTGTACAACAAACCTGCTCGATAGTGATGTATCTATCAATGGAAATTATCCGGATCAAGAGAGGCGTAACTACTTGGATTGCAACAAGATGAAAAAAGGGATAGTGTTGCAAGCATTGAAAATGTCAACATGTTAATCACCAAAAAGCCATTCTTGAGAGATTTTTGTAGGCAGCAGATAAACTGGACGTTTGATTGCAATAATGGATCACTGTTTCAAGTGCTTATAGTGGTGGCATAAGATTGCAGCAAGGTTAGTGCTTGCTCGGTTATAGCTCTGTTCCTAGCACGCTTTACCCAATCATCAACAATTTCTGCTGCGTGAGTGTCCTTTAAACCCTTCTCAAGGGCATCAGCAGCTTCTGATAATTTTCCCTGAGCCAAGAAACTCTCAACTTTATTTATGAGGGATTCAATTCCATCACCAGACTGGCCAGCCTCCCTAACCTGATATCAGTACACAAAATTATTTTATGGGGAAGAAATACGAATTCAGTAAACTTTACTTCAATAATCAGATAGTTTAACTCAAAGAAGGGTAAATGAAAAGATACCTTTAACCAGGATGCAACACTAGCCAAAGAATGTGTCAATATCCCACCACCACCTGGAGGAATCAGGCTAAAGTGCCGAAGTGTCCCCTTTAATGTATCGAACTGTTAAAATGAAAAGTAATTAGAAACAGAGTTATCCAGTTTTTGCTCAGGTACAAGCACCAGATATGCAGACTTCAATGTAAGAGCTACAAATTCCAATAAAGAATTCTTGCTCTCAACAGACACACAAGACTATAGACTTTAGGCAGAAGGAACAAAAGAAAAAAGAATTCGGATATTTAGCAGCAGAAATCACAGAATTCATAAGGATACGAGTACTGTTGACTTATTTGATCGCATGAGAAGCAAATTTGAAAACTGGGATAATTTAAACAGTGACCAAATCTTCTATCATTTTTTTTTGAATCTGGTAACTTTACCGAACTCTTCTATCAGTCTTACAAATTGTCTGGTAATGACGATTCAACCAGGGCAGGAAATAAGGAACCAGAAAAAGAGCCATCGAGTTTGCCCAAAAAAATATTATATGTAGGAAAGGAAAACATAGCTAATTTGAAATTTCCCATGGGATTCCACATGGTTTGTAGAATTATGCTTCAAAGTGGGATATTATTCTACAGTGTTTCAGATGCTTGCCTTGTGATTCAGTTGTAACACAGTATCTGAACCATATCTCTGTGTTTCTTCTGGAAGAGAAGATAGAACCACATCCAGCAATGAGTTGTTATCTATCCCTTCAAGAGAAGTGTGAAGATTTTCTAGTTCTTTTTGAATTGGTAACCCTCTGGACAGTGCATCTTCCAGAGCAAGCACACCCTGCAACAATGAACAATCAAAGGATCCCATCAGTAGAGCTAAACACTTGACACAGGTTTTAGCTAATAGCCGGTAGGTTAGCATTGTTTGTACCCAATCATTCCCTTCTAATACCCTCACCTGAGGATACAATTGTGGAAAAATAACTGGTTTTACAGCTTGCTTAACAAACAAAGAACAAATCAGTATCAGATCACTCCTGTTCTTCTTCTTCCTCAGCATCAACCACTGTGCTATTTTTTTGTTGGATGCATTGCATTACTTCATTTTTAAATGGATAATTTATTTACATTCTAAAAGTTAATAGCCTTTATCGACAGTGTTTTTAACATCCAACTTCAGAATGAGTTAAGATATCACCTTGTTAAATTACAGTATGAATTTCTCTCTTATTATACAACTTTTTTATAGTTTTTCTCTCAATATACATAATCTTTGGGAAGACGTAGACTTCATGAAGCATGAAAGCCAACGGCCACTTTTTTCTGATTAGAACATGAGAGAGCTAAGACTTGAGTTACAGGAAGAGTTCTAGCCTTGAGTTTCAGAAGTTATTTAGCAATAGCATAAATGAAAAATGGTGTTACTGGAATGATGATTACCAGAAATAAGTGAGATGGTTACATTAGAAATTGTTTAGCATAGATTTAGAAAAGCTGCAATTGTTTCACACAGAATTCAAGATCATATTTCACAGAGAAGTAGGAGCTGTTAGCCAAATTATTTTGTATATATGTTGATGGTATTTCAGGAAAACAGAAAAATGGCAATGTTAGTTGTACATTGGGTTTACCAGCTAATGGGGCCGTTAGCTGGTCATTAGGAAGGGAAGACGGTTACTGTTGAGAAAATTTTGACAGAGTTCGCAGAAAGCCAGAAACTGCGAGTTTTTCCAAATGATTCAACACCATTTTTGGTTGGAAAAGGGGATCTGTTTAGACATGTTACCAAATTGTGCAACTTTCCCTTTTATGTGTTTGGACGGAAAAAAGGCTTACAGTTATGACTTATCACATTCCAGCAGCAGATTCTCCCTCTCTCTCTCTCCACGCACACACACAACACAAATACACACACAACAGGTCCTCAATTTTGCCTTCTTTGAACATTAAAAGACAAAGGATTGAAAACAAAAACAATCAGAACACCACCAAATTTAAGGGAAACAGAGAGTGAAGATGAAATGTTAAAAGGTAGTGGTTGTTATACTAGCAGGTGTCATTAGACGGATAATAGCGCGTTTATTAAATCTATTAACTAGGGCATGGCTACAGCGAGTTCAGTAGCACCCACATCCATCATGCAATGTTTAGCATGATGGAATAGAGGTTATTAACAATTAGAATGGTTGATTTATGGTGTTCTACTTTTCATGGTGTTTGTAGTTGAGCCGATTGACTGTCTGGAGATTCCAATTGAATTTAAAAGTTTGGTTTAGAACTTTTGGACATGATATCAGATGTTCCCAAGTTCTAGCAGGGCAGTCATATACATAAAGAAAGGACTATATATACGTACAGTAGCATCATGTATGTGGAGAAGCAAATATAGCAAGCATACACACTAACAATGTGCAGAAGGCAATATAATGTGATCATATTCTGTTAGTAGTTCAACAATACTCTGGACTAGAGATTGATATCATCCCTGATGGTGAGATTCTTCAGAACGAAAGAATTTGTGTATACATTGTCTCACACCCACCCTGAAACTAAAGTTTTTCTTTTAAAAAGGAAGGGAATATAAAAATAAAAAGAGAAGTACAGCAGAAGTACAGTTACCAGAGCAAGCTTGTGAACAGAATGAGTCTGGCGAACCTCTTCAGATCGTGCATAAAATGCCATGCACAGAGCATTTATCTGAAAACAACAAGAACTCAAATCAAATCATCAACCATAGAAATGCCAAGCACTTAAACAACTGGCTATGAAGAAACACTCTAGAGAGTAGTGTTCTAAGATAAGTAGATGTAAGAATATATGAACTGCAAATTTAGCTAGCATAAAAAGATATCTAGGTTATGCTCCAAAAGAATGGTATATATGAAGATATAACACACAGATTTGGAAAAAAAATGTTTGGAGAAGAGGAATGTCGCTGGATTGATTGTACTGTAGGAGATACCTGGGAAAGTGATGGTTAGTTTTTTCCTGGATGCAAAATTTGGTTTTGGATATTAAACTATTGCCTGTTTTCTCAGTCAGTTGCTCAGAAATTCTTTGCTAAAAAGTGGTAAAGCTATTAAGAATTTAGCTGCAGTGCGATTTTCTACATGTTTGTTGTGGTAAATATTGGAAGTTGCATTCTTATGTGCATTTTATGAGAAAATCCTGAATAATTTAGAAAAAGGTTACAGTACTTTAAGTTCTCGACTTTTGGTACGATGAATTTCGTTGTCTACAAGGAGGATATTTCTAGATTACAAGCCCTCTTGCATAAGATATGCTTAGTGAGCTTCCACCTATCCCAAACAAGCTCCATTTTCTCTTGGGAACTCAATTTTGGGAAATTAGCCAATTTTAAAAGAACATCTTTTCTTGTTACAATTGTCCTGTTTCCAGTGAGTTTCACTTCTCCAATATGGAGGGAAGAGCCTATTTCTCAGCCGGTCTCAACCAGAGATAAGTCTTTTAAATTGATTAACATAAGCAAATAAAGAGCAAGATGGTTTTACTTACTTTACGAGGGCAATAGAAGGCTCATTAGAAAAATCAAAACTGGAAAAACAACTAGTGATGGGCATGAGTGCTTTAAAAGAGCTTTCACTGGAAGAGGGGAATCTTTGCCAGAGATGTAGTAGGGAAATAGAGGACTACCTATACCGAGATTTACCAGAATTTTAACAGTTACCATTGGTAGGTATGTTCAAATTGAGGTATGAGTGGCTGATATGAAATTATCGGTGATAATTCGAGAAGTTATTGATGATGGAGGATGGTATGGAAGTGTAGACAATCCTGTGGAGACACAGCAAGCAATGACAAGAACTCTAGAGTTACGCAAGACCATATTTTTGAAGATGAACGGTGTTGTGGCAGTTGAAAAAAATAAAAAATCTAACAGAGACCAAAGCAAATAATGCCCATTTTCTTGCCAAATGCACAAAATACCCAAGTGAAATTCCACAAGTGGGTCTGGGAGGATAGAATGCACGCAGATCTTACCACTACTTCATGGAAAGACAAGTTAAAAGACCCACCATTTCACCCTGAGGAAGCCCATCATTCATTTCCACATACCATTAAGTCCCCCAGTATTCCAGGCTAACATCTTGACTTCAATTGGATATTCCAAGGCAAAGTCCTCCCGCTTCTCCTAGATTCACCTTCTTTGAACTTCATACCAATGTCAAAGAACAAATTCTTGAGCTCCTTTGGAGTATTAACTGTGTTGGTACAACTGTGCTCCCTTTGCTCTATTCTGATCTACCTTCGAGAAAAGGAAGGCCTCATTTTCGCAACCCTTGATAGCTGCTCCAAACTTCTGGCTAAGTTTGATCCCGATAAAGTTCACCTATAGAGTACTCTCCCTAACGAGATCTTCACAGTTTGAGTCGTCAATTTACAGAGGCCTTGATTCGGATTAACAACTCAGTTGATCATGAGAATGTTCTAGCGTCTCCCCAGCATCCTTTCTTATAGCAGAGCATGATTGCAATCCTCCCTGGTTATAGAGATAGATAATTCTGTAATGATTTATCTCCCAACACTTGATCGTTTTCGAGGATAAAGTCATGTTTTGGAGTCTCCTCCATCTTGATGGAAGTCCCAAATCTCCCAGGATCAATGTGAATTCAGATGGTAAAATAGATGGACCTTGGATTATATTTCGGAGCTCAATAAATGGTTCTAAGGGGGTTAAATGAATAGGCCAAAAAGGAATTTATGGTTGGTCCATGTCAGTGAGCAAAGTGGAATTTAAAAGAATTGGTTTGGGCCCAGAGTCTTTTAAATTCAAATTCAAACATTCAGCATTGCACAGGCACCACTTGCTGCGTGTCAGGCCCCACAAAATCTATTGGGTAAAGACCTATAACCTCTTAACCTTTTTCATGAAAGTCTTCTCATACTTCCCACAACCCAGAACTACTTTTTTTTCTCCTTTACTAGCTATAGTCGCCTGTAGGGTTAGTAACTATCTTTTTTCCTTGTAAATCACCGACGAGTCTACCCATATCAGCAGAGAGAAGATTAAATTCCCATCATCGACATCAATTGGTCAGTGGTATTGTCTCCCTCGGACCCTTACTCCGAACGCGAGCCCATAGCAGGGGGTTCGTAAGTTCTGTTTCTTCTTCATTTTCCAACCAACTCCACATCTATCACCTATCTCTTTCATGACTCCATCGGACCAGAGAGGTAGAGGAAGACCATTTACTCTGATCCAAATCCAATTAAACTCAGTTTGGGTCGGAAAGGAACCCTTCATCAGAGACCACGAACCGTGTGTTAAGTTGACCACATATCTCCTCTAGTCACCCACAAGAATGGGCTCAGCTGCTTTCCTTGATTGGAACTCGAAGAGAAACCCAAAGCTATTCATGTCATGCGCTTGAATATTCTGAGTCCCTTTTTTCGGTCTGTTGAGCACAGTTTCTCACATCATTGCTAGTTGGAAGTTCAACCCCGCCATTGAATTGACCAACTAGACATCTCTGCAGAAGATCTGTATCACCCTCTTGAGTTTTCAAAGAAAGTTGGTTCTTCACAACTGCAACCTCAGCTTGCTTTGAAGTCCACTTCAAAGATGTTGCCCGTGTCCTTTAATAGTTGTTTATTGTACTTCCGTTCGTAATAAATGCAGCAGGATGCTAGTTTTCACTGTAATAAATTTCTCAATATTCGTAGCCACCAACCCCCATACCTCATTAAAAGAAATTTTCTGGAATGATGACCACAACTCTGTTGTGTCCCTTAAACTGTAATTACAGAAAGGAATCTCCCATACTTATTAACTTTTGAGAACAATAATATTAAATGAAGAGATCTCTGCATCTCCACAATTTAATGTTGTTCCCTTGTTTTCTGATGCATCCCGCATTCTTCTGCAAAGCCAGAGTAAGGCTCCTTTACTCAGAGTTAATCTTCTAATAGAATTCCTGGCTTTCTCCACTCATTTGATCCTAGATACTAATTCTGAATCTTATGAATACATAGAAATGTCACAAAATTTCCCCCCAGATCTAAATTAAATTCCTTTATCCATTGAGCCAGAGCAACTGGAGAGATGCATGAGAGTTAAAAAGGTAGTAAAAGTGGGCGCAGGTGATCGGATATAGCCGGAAAAGGGTAAAAGAGGCCCAAAGAGGACCTCCAAGAAAGACCTAGGGATATGTGCCTAGGAGAGAAGGAGATATGTGGCTGTAACTATTATTATTGTTGTATAAGATTAAGATATAGGACATTCAGCAGAAATTCGGCAATAGGACAATCCTGCTATATACCTTCTTGGCAAGTAGATTCCTTACTGGGACAAATGAAAGAAGAAACATATGGTTGAGCACTCCATAGACGTCCAATGCTAAAATACATGACAAAGAATGTAATTTATCCTCCCACCCATCATTTCTTTTTGATAATGGTGAACTTTACTTCTATATATCCACGGGTATACTATAACAAAGTGTATCCCCCATCACAAAAGTTGTCTCTTCACAAAATCCTAATATATCTAATTACAGCCAATCAATTGCATTAAAAATATCTTTTGTGCTGTCTATTACTACTTGTTTACACCAAAAATAGTAAAGGCTGTCCTCCCACCCATCATATAAAGCATCTTCTGTTTCCTTAGACATTATTATACTTACAGGTATGTAAAACCTAATATCATACGTTAGACAAAGTAAGAACTGAAGCCATAAATACCGCGATATAAACTAATGAAAAAATGAAGAAAAAACTGCAGTTAATTACATCAGTTATCTCCCAATGCACGTCAAACAAACATTGTACTTGCATCCCACAAACAAAATACAAACAAAAAAAACCTTCACTTGCCAACACTACTTTAACGGAGCAGCCATGATGGAGTAAGTATTTTCCATTTACTAAAGAATAGGATGCAGGTGTTGGTCCAAACAGACCTTTTTTTTTTTGAGAAAGGGAACTGTAGTCTAAACAGAATTTAGGATAGCAATTATCTGATTCCCTTATGTGTAGTTCCAGAATATCCTCCTATAGATGTTTCAAGGAAGAGATAGTTTCTAACCCACAGTTGAATAGGAATGTGCATAATAATTTAAAAGATTGGTGTAACATCATATGAAAAAAGAAACTTCTATACGTGGAAAACTAATATATGGGAAGCTTTACATGGAGATTGGCTTCAGCCATTTTTTCAATTTGAGATGCTTTCTCACTTGCGATAGCTGCATCCAATTGTGCTTTACCCAACTCCTGGGCTTTCTTTAACTTCAGTTCTGCTTCATCTTCCTACAATTATGAATATGCATAAGTCTGCTAGACAGAAAATATAGTATATTTTGTATAGTCTTAAGAGAGTATAGTACCTTTTCCTCAAGCTCCGTCTTGTGTTCTTCTTCTAATTTTTCTTTAAGTGATTTCAAAGCTGCGATGGCTTTTGCTCTTTCTTTTTTCAGTTCCTAATGAAATTTTCATCATTAATCAGTCCAACAAAGAGATTAGGATAATGAAAGACAATGATAAATCATCAAATAAGATGACCCTCCACGCATGAGATCCTAAGAAAGAAGTGAAATGTGTCAATGAATAGTTTAAGAACTGGAGTTATCATACACTGCAGCAGCCTATATGAGGGTAAAATAGGTAACCAATAACAAACATACTACAACCTTATCCAGTAAGGCCTCTCGTTCAGCATACATAAGTTCCCTGGCCCTGGCATCCTTCAGCTCCTTTTCATATCTCTCCTAAATCACGAGAGCAGAAAAATCTTAAAATAACAATAACAACAATAATAATAACAACAACAACAAGCAGCAACACAATTAAAAGCAAATCATGTGGAAGAAATACCACAAATCTTAAAGAGTGAAGTATCACAATAATGTTATAACATCCTCTTTTCAAAATTGTAAAGAATTGTTAAAGGTCTCAAACCTTCATATATTTCTTTTCTTCAGCAAATAAGCGAGCATCTAGTTCTGCTTGTCTACTCTCAGTTTCATGAATAACCTGTAAGACATCAAGCACCAATTTTCCATCCTTTGATATGTAGGAATCACCCAGATCTTCAACAACCTACAGTTTCATAATGCAAAGATTAAGGAAAACCAACTAGGAGATTCTCCCTCTCCTTCCCTCTCATATATCCTTCTGTCTTTTCATTGTTTCATTTTTTTAGGGGGTGGGGGGTGGGATAAGGAAGGAGAATATACCATTTTCTTGTCAGACGAGGTTGTAGGGGTAGCTCCAACCCCATTTCTTAAGTAGTATTCATCAAGAAGGGAACTAGGTTTTTCCTCATGCTGAGGAGCATCCTTCAAAAAGTAGCTGTTCAGAGAACCATGACAAAATTTGTAACTCGCAAGATAAAATTGTCAGCACAAATTGGTTTATACCTCCATCTTGGCTTGACTGATTACATGCTCTGGAGACATGACACTAGCCTCATTTTCCTTCTGAAGTGTATCAGCCTGTGTTGGAGTTGGAGTGATTTCTATTGCCTTAGACTGCACTGCATCAGTAGATACTTCTGGGCTCTTCATGTCCAAAGTGTCCTCAGGTGATTGAGTAGAAGTAAGTCTTGTTTCATCAGGTGAAACATTTTCTTGATGGGAGCTGGGTGATAATTCTTTTACTTCAGTATAGTTGGCTTCTCCACCAGTAATTTCTGATGAATCGTTTACCTGAAATTGACTTTCTGATCCAGTTGCTGTTGGCTCTTCTGAACCAGAGAGATCTTGTTGAATTCCAATGCTCTGGTAAGTTTGCTCCGGACTATCAGACTCTACAAATTTAGAACCAGCATCTGGTCTTCCTAAAGTTTCACTATCTTGTGAAACTTCACTACTTTCCTTTAGCTCCTTCACACCTTGAAGGCCAGTTTCGTCCCTGGCTAATTCAGGGCTGGAATGGGGCTCTTTAATGAGATACTTATCTAAATATCCAGTTTGATAAGCAGCAAAAAATCCAGCACTTAAAGCAACAGATCCAATAATGAATCTCGGCAAGAGACTCACTGTTTCTTTGGGCTTCCCCGTTGAACCTGGCCCCCGGGGTGGCCCATTTTGTTTGGGTGAGACTGAAAACTCTCTTCTGGAAAAAAGATAGGAAGGTACCTGAAACCATATACCGGTAAACAAATTGGTAAACAAGAATTCAATGCTAGTTACTGTAAGACATAACACTAGTATTCAAAGAAAATGCGGGGACAGTTTTTTTTTTCTTTATTTTTCTTGTGGTAAAAGTAAAAAGGGAAAAAACAAGCAGATGATAATCAAGATTTAAAATAAAGATTCTGAGCATTGCCAGGAAGGGTCCAGTTATGACAGTCGTTGTATTTCTCTCCAGTTCAATGGCATTAGTTTTGTTCTACCTCCATAAATGCATCATAATTTACAACGATGCACCAACTCAATTTGATCACACTTATCAAAGAGTTTCTCCAATACTTGCTCTTTCTTTCTTTTCTTTTTTGATATGGTAAGCTAAACCTACTTTACCAAAACCCCTTCCCACAGGCGATCCAAGATAACACATCACTCAGATTGTTAAAACTTGCAGCAATGCCAATCTCCTTGTTAAAAAACAGCTGCCCTCCCCACTTTTGCTCCCTTAGGGACTCAAACCCATAACCTCATCTTAGTTGCGCGGACTCTTCACTTTTGATTCTGGATCCATGCTGGCTACTAAAAAAATACGCTACTTTCGGCGAATCCGATGCACACCCGTTGACATTTTCGAAGAGTCCGAGCAACATAAAACCTCATGGTTAAAAAATGTTGTTTTACTCTCTTCAAAAATCATATTTACTCTTTCTTTATGAAGATACTGATGTAACAGAAGCACAAAAATCACGACAGCATCCAAACTTCTGAAAAGTTCCACTTTTTACTTCTCCACCATGAGGCCCCCAAGAAATTCGAGTTTGTCCATGTCATAGCTAATAAAAATGGTTCTTTCTTCTTCTTGTCATAAAAGGCACAATAAACAACAAGAAGGAGCAGGTTTCTTCAAACTTCGCCAGACCGTTATCTACTTTAATTTATTTTTGATGATCACGGTGTCCAGTCAAGCATTTGCGCAACTCAACTAATTCCACGGGATACCTGCCACGTGCCATGTGCCATGTGCCACCACCCACCAGTAACATATACCATGTAACTATGTCCCCCAAGACTACGACATATGGGAAGAATCATCTAATGCTTTTTTTTTTGTTTTTTGTTTTTTCAAAATTGGAGGTTGGGGAAGGGGAAATAGGAGAGGGGATTACAATATGGGGAATCAAATCCTCACCCGTGGGAGTTCAGGTAGCCAATTAAGTAGTAAGATTCCCCACCTAGTGTTTTTTGTTTATCTATTTTGACGATATTCTAAAATGTACCTGTGTTATAACCTCTGCTGGAATTCTTTTCACTGATTGACCAGCCGAAAGTCGCAGGATGGACCTGCAAAGAAAAAAATACAGTAAAAGATCTCAAATTAGTTCAAACACTCAATTTTCATGTAACAAAATTCATATCAACCCTAATTCTTCTCATTGAAATTAATACTAGAGAGCAAAATAACAATAAAATCGACATTGACAAACTAACTATCCGATGTATCACAACGTAATGAATGAACAAAAGCTACGGAATATGAGAGTGTATATACATTGATAACTGTAGAAATTGAGATTTTGGTTTAGGGTTACCTTCGCAACATGGTGAGAGGATTGGTTGGCGCCAAAAAAAACTGATATTGAGTTGATTTGTAGCTTGTCTGAGATGGAGCTCGCGCCAATGGCGGAGAGTTTTTGTGCTTTCAGCACGGCGATTTCATTTGATTCTCTTTACACTTCGATTTTCTTTATTTCTGAATCCCAAACTTCTTTATTTTTTTCTTCTTTTATTTTTCTTAAAATTAAATTATTACTAATTTGACCTTTTGTATTTCGAATTTTACTGCATTATTAATTTGAGACCGTCACAAATATTTTTCATTACCTTAAAACAAGCAACTATTTATATTTCAATTTCTAGAGTAAAACCTAACAAAAAAATATTAAAATTGCAAAACATTAACCAAAAAAAATAACAATAAACTTGCAAGCCTAATAAAATATAAATGGCAAAACAAGAGAGTTTGACAACAGGTGCAAGCATACAAATCCTACTTTTCGAGAGCTGATTAGATTAATTTAAAAAATTAAATTAAATTAAATTATATTAAGTTGATATCTAAAATAAAATTTAAATATTTAATTGCAATTTCAAATTAATATGATTAATAGAATATATTTTAAAATAATAATCAAAATTATTTGACTTTCAAAAATAGAACTATGATAAGTAGAAAAGACTAAAGTGAGTTTTAGCTAAACAATTTGTATTTTGGATCGATTCAATTTTATAAATATATTAAACCATATTAAAAAGTATCATAATAAATATATCATTTAAATTTGAATTAATTGAAAAAATTCAAAGTGAATCAATATATGCATAGGCCAATAAAAAAGTACTTCATTAATTTATTTTTTTACTAATTCATCTTATCAAATTAGTTATAGGAAAAAATATTTATTTAATGTATTTTTAGAAAATTATAAAATTTTTATAAGTTCATGTACAACAATTGATGATAAATTATTAAGGAAATTTCAATTACTACATTTACAATAATAAATACATACTAATATGTATAAAAAATTAAATTGAGCTTATACTTTTTCGGACCTAAAGCCACCCACTGGCATTTTATCTTACGGCTTAATCCTCTTTTTCTTTTCCGATCAGTTCCTCGGCCAACGCCGGATTTAGGGCTGAGCCGCTCCTCTTTTTTCCGATAGCTTGTTGAAACTACTGCCGGCGAGGAGATGAATTGCGCTACCATAAACGCCTGCAATTTCAATGCTTCCTTTCCATCACTCACTGTTACCAAAAGGATTTCAAAACTGACAACATTATCTTCAACTATAAAACTCCCGAGAAATGCAAAAGTAAAAGTATCCAGACAGCAGCAGCAGTCCACAACTGTATGCTTATTTGGTGGTGGAAAGGGGAAGTCAAGCAATGACAATGAGGTAACAATCTTTTGCAACATCATTCATTTTGTATTTATGTGTGTCAAACAATTTTAATATCTTTAGTCGGAGTGATGAACAAAAAACCATGAAATGTCCAACTGAAACAATCCCAAGCAAATTGCCCACTAATTGATTGTTATTTTGATTTTTTTTTATTTGAAACTTATGAAATGCTTCAAGTTTGTTTTTTCTGTAAACAAAAACCACCAGGCCTTGATTTCCAAGCTAGTTAGTGTAAGCTATATGGATCTTCTTTATCCATTTCGCTCTATTTTTTACTCTTTCATCGCAATATCAATAAAAATGAATTCTTAAAAATTCGGAGTTCTCTGCATTCTTTTTCATAAGAAAATAACTCTTAACTAATATCTTACCAAGTATAAGCTTAAAGACATGAGAACGTTTATACCAATTACTTCCTCCGTCCATCTTTACTTGTCCGGTTTGGAAAACCAAGAGATAATATACCATTTTGTGTCTATTTTATCCTTGCTATTAAACGCTATTCATTTTTCAATATTTAGATAACTTATAATTAAAGGTGATATAGTAAAATTATCCCTCTATTAATTGTCATAAGGAGTGTGCCAAGTCATGGACAAGTAAAGATGGATGGAGGGAGTAGTTGGTATCCTTTTCAAATGTACCTAGTGGTTGGTATCACCTATATGAGTTTGTTTCTTCAGTTGATTGTGTGAGTTCAACATAAATTACCTAGTTTTACTTTAACTGTTAACCTATCATAAAACTCCTCTTTTATCAGAGGACTTTGGGTTGGCAATGTGAGCTTGCTCACATGATCAAAGTGAAGTTCGTTTTATTTGAAAAATCCCCAAAAAAAGTTTCCAATTTTTTTTTGAAGATATTGGCATAAAAAGAAATGAAGCAAACATTTCTCCTATGGCAATTGGCAAGGATGATTGCCACATGCCGACTCTGAGACAAACTGCTAACATTTTCTTTCACAGACTCTCCAGGCGTAGAACCAACTGAGAACTGATAAGAACAAGAGGAACTCGTCTAGTTAATTAGAAATATTCTAGTTTACGTAAGATAATCCAAACCATCCACAGACTAATCCAACCAGAAAAGTTTTCCAGCTATATGCAGGTGGTTTTGATTTCTTTCTTTGGGAAATGGTTATATGTGGTGTGGGTTTTGTATTACTTTGAGAATCTCCAAGCCATCTTATTTACTAATCATTGAAAAAAATAGAAGAAGATGGCCTAAACCACCTGCATCTCTAGATACCACCCAAGATGAAATCGATGGGAAACAGGTTCCCATCCCCATATTCACTCCCCTTTATTTTCTTTGCACTTTTGGATCATTTGGGTGTGAACACTGTCTAGTTAATTAAGATAAGTGCAAGGCATTCTTGTATATTTTTACATGCATATGTTGAACCCCTGATTGGCTCTTGCTTATCATACCAATGTGGCCCTTGGCAGTGAAATGAGGGGGGACTCTAAAACTGAGGCCTATATTTTTTATTTTCTTTATTTATAATCCAAGAGTATAGGCCTCAGTTATGCTCTTGGTGACCTTGAGTCTTGGCTGTGAAATAAGGAGGATAGTGAAAACTCTTCAGGAAGGCATAGATAACCTTTATATCCCACTATATAATGTGTTCTGTTGCCAGGCCTTTTGGTTGCTTCCTTGTCCGTATCAAGAAACATCAACTGGCCCAGTTGTGACTCCAGATATAGCTAAAGCACCATTTGTTTTATAAGTGCTTTAGCTCCTGATTGGTTAAACATAATCCTCTAATATTTGGTTATAGTCGTTTTCTTTCTCATTCATCTTAGTTTCATATCCTTATTGCTTGTATTTTCCCTGACATGGAATCTAAAAACAAATTAAGACAGTAGCAAATAATCTAGGAGAACGGTGAAAAGAAGAGAATGTCTCTTTCAACCCTTCTAATCACCTACCCTTTTTCTCCCTATTCCTCATTAATGCCATAATGTGGTTTCCCTTTTATTGGTAGGTAACTGATTTCCAATACCAAAAGTCTGAACCATCGGTGGCCACCTAAAGTTGACACCAATTTTCACAAACACCCTAACTAGGCTTTGTTCATTTTAGACACCTCATGTCATGCTCCGCTATGTCATTTGACACTTCTTGCCGACTTGGCACATTGTGTGTGTTGCACTAACTCCAAGCGTGTGAAGAGCTTCTTTTTTCATGAAATAAACTTTTTTTTCTTTTCTTTTTCTCGTCTCTTTCTTCCTTCCACCATCCCACCTACTCCACCACCATCATATCCATCATTTTTCATCATCTACCCCTTGTCTGTTACTACCCAGGTCATCCATCTCCGTCATTTTTTTCTTCCTCCACCAGAAAAACCATCAAATTTTCTCCTTTCTAACCATTTGGTGGTAGCAGATACAGTAAATAAAAAATGGGTTCTGAAATAACTTTCGATGAAACTCCATTTTTGAATATTCAAAATTTGAAAGTCCTTGGATAAAAGATATGTGTTAGGATATGTAACTGTTGTCCATTCCTCTTCTAAGCGAATATTAGTAGGTAGCTGAGCATTTCCATTATCTTTAGTTGATTGTGGCTCAGGTTGCTTTAGTTCTTCACCCCCTTCTTTACTCAACCATGTCTTTGTGAACTTCTTTGGATCAGCTCTAGACTCTAGTCACCTCTTTCTTTTGGACCTCAGGCCTTTGGGTCTTGTCCTGGGGTTGCTGGTCCTTCTTGCAATCATGCCCAATCAAACAACATGTTGCACATCTGTGGTCTTCAGTCGTACCAAATCTGTTTTTCAAACACCTTCCCTTGTGTATCCATCACTTTGACGGAATTGGGAAGTTGTATAGTAGCATCCATTTCTACTAGCACCCTTGCATATGAGGTCCTTTCTGTTCTGGCAGTTCATTCATCAGCATACATAGGGGTTCCAAGACTGCTTGCTATTCGACTCAGAGAATTACCCCCAGCATCACATGGTAGATTGAGTAGCTTAGTCCACAATGGTATTGTTTTTATCACTTCTTCATTAAAGTTGAACTCCTGACTCCAAGGCTTTTACTATTGCTGGTTTCTTGTTTATCATGTGTGGTCCTATATGCACTATTCTATCCCTCTCACTGATGTTATGGGATTTAATAAAAAAATATCCATCTTTAGGGTAGTAGATGGTGGGCTTGCTGACAAATGTTCCTTGCCCCGCAATGAATTGAGAAACGACGCCTATTGTAGGGGATTCACCCACTACATATAGTATCATGACAGCTCTCCAAGCCAGCACTTCCTTATCTACTTCTTCTTTCACTATTTTGCCATTTTTACTCCATTTTGGATGACCGGAGTGACGTAATTGAGGTTCATGCCTTTTGATGCCATCATGTTCCTGTGAAAAGGGTATTCCATGTCTTCTTGTCCTATCCTTTGGGGTTTTGGTTACCCAGCTTGGTATCATTAACATTTCCCAGAGATCTTACAGTTCGTCTTCTATCCACCAACTGTTTCTTTGTCTGAGAGTCTTGCACTGTTGGCCACTGTTCTATTAAACTGTCAGCCTGCACTGTCGTGCCTATGCCCTCCTACGCCAGAATCAAGCTTGTCATCTCTATTCCTTTACCCGTCGAGGGGTTTGGGGTGTTACCATTAAACCTTGCTTCATCAGATGTGTGATTTGGCTTTACAACATTCAGCATAGGTTCCTGTTGTGTGGTCTCGCTTGCACTAGAGCTAAGTGCTTTCCCTGCGTCTTCAGTGTCCAGTATTCTCTTATTTACCTTTGCCAGCTTCACGTCTGGTAGCTGAATAACCTT